GCTATTGTAAAGAATCGATTATTAAGGAGTTCGTTGCGAACACCCTGTTTATCGATCTGTTTCTATAGGTTTAAATGGCAGATCAATCGATACATCGCAAAGCACGCCACGCCACTGGTGTCCATGGGCTTATGTCTTTACTCAAAACGATAGCCGAGCCGTAATGCGCCTTTCAGCGCCAGTTGTGCAAACGCTGGGTGCAATTAACACGGTTTTGAATGAGGCATCTCTTACTTCGTTCATCATGTTCTACGTTCGCTGCGCCATAATTCTAATCGTGGCTTGAATTTAGTCCCTTTTGTGATTCTCAGCTTTGAAGTCGCGCCAGATAAGCGGAGATTACAGGTTCGTTTCAGGTGTTGCACCTACAAGCTCAATTCTTATTTAATTCGATATGCTTACTACAATGAGACCAATGATTGTATAAAATCTTTGGCTTTCGGATGAAGCTTCCTTGAAGATTTTTGTTGGAGATGTCGCAGAGATTACAAGTGAAATGACGATTTAAAAACGACACCTGGCTTGCCGCGAAAGTTCCTCCTTAAATCGATGTTTGTTTACTTCTGATATCGATTTATCTCAAAATGTACCGTTTTCAGGTCAAAATATGGTTGGATAGGACTTGAGAAAGTTCAAATACACCCAAGTGGAGTAGTATACCTTAAAATTAACCAAATCTCATCGATTCTAATCGATAAATTAATGCTTGTCGATTCAACTTACTTCTTTCTCTAAGTCCAAGAGAGGTATGACTCGCGCTTGTCCTGATCTCGCCCTGACTGGCGTCTGTCCACTGCTTGTATTTTATTTTCTGAGAGGAACTACTAAATTTTCGCACTCAACATTGATCGAATGGCGTATCAATTGGTAAGGAAGAATAACAAAAATGTTCGCCGTGTACCATCTGTCGGTTATAGCTCCTGTGATAATTTCTTTCGGGACAATTTCAACAGGGAAATATTTTTTGATTCTGAGGTCTTGGGGGGAGGGGAGGGGAGGGGAGGGGTATTAATTCCTAATCAAAGCCTATCCGTCCATGTGGTTATTTGCACCTTGTAGGGGTAAGTATTATTATCAATCTTAATTTACGAACCTCTTGACGTTATTAACTTGCATGTCAGTAGTTAGTTTTTCGATGGGCTTATTTACCTAAAACTTTCGTTTCAATATAATCTTATCTAGTGTCTCAATGGTAATTTAGCAATTTACTCTTCATGACGAAAATAGAAGAATATAATGAGTCTGTTCGCAAAGTGCAGATTACAGCTCTACTTGAAATATTTCAAAATTTCATGTGAAAGAGGTAAGCATACTTTGGAGTCAGAACCCAACTCCCAATCAAGATTTTAGCACGAATGTACAGGATTTGCAGGACAAAAGAAAATAGTTTCAACGGTAAAAATAACCAATTTTTCTGCATAACTCATTTAATCATGTTCCTGCAAAATTTCTTAAAGATTCTGTGTATTCCAGCTCCATTCCTTTAACATTCTTCAATCCATTCCTCGAATCTGAATTTGTAAACCAAGTAGGTGTTTCCGGTAGACGCTGAGGAAATTCATTAGATTCATTAGCATTATTACCTCGACTTTCTCAAATTATTCGTGATAAGAACTAGTTAAGTTAGCCCATTGAAAATTAAAAAGCCCTGACTTCTTCCTGTGGTCTATCTTATGTTGCGTGTAGCTTTTCTCTTTTTCTGTACAGACTGTGATTTGACCTGGGTTTGACGATTTTGCTGGCAACGATTATTAATTCCCTCTCTTCTTATCTACCTATCTTGTAAATATTTCTCTTTTTTCTCTACCTAAAAAAAGAGGCTCTTAAGCGGTGGACAAACGGATTTTTTTAGATCAGCCGTAGTGCATATTTTTCATAGATTCAACTTCCTTTGGCATTTTTTCAGCTAATTATCCCATGAGTAAATAAAATTCGCCTATCTTTTGCATATCTTTTTCTCTTGGATAACTCCCCACTGAATCCTTAAAACTTTGAAAAGTTATCGGAAATTATTACTTTACATTTTTGGATTATTTCTTCCTTTATTCAATCCAAACTTGCAATAATTGAAAACGAAGGCAAATGATCAAGGCGAGGAAATTTTTCCATTATCTCTGACAAGATTCATTCCTCCAGACTTGTTCCTCCTTTCAGCAAAGTATACTTAAAAATGAAATGTCTAGTTACGACTCAATATCGCAACGTTCAGACTGCTTAAGGGTCACTAAATTTTTCTGAGCTTCTCAAATCATTAAATTTCTTTTGCAATAAAGAGAATTATGTTTTGTTGCTAAATTAATCATTAAAGCTACCCTATTGCAACTAAAATCTTCAGCAATCTCCATTTTTTCAACATTGTCTTCAATATCCATGGAGTTTATTTATAATTCATATTGCTTATTTGAACCTGTTCACGCACAAGCCTCTAAAGACCCAACTCATTCCATTTGAAATCGAAGAAAAACAAGAAAATTTAGTTCATGAAATTTCAGCTTAATTTTCATTAGTATAGACCCCGTGGGAAAGAAATTTCAAAATTCGAGAAGACAAAATGTTTTAGTGCCAAGTGTTTGATGAATGCCGTGAAATCAAAAGAGCGGGTATTTTAGTTAAGTTCAAATAAGTAGATTTCTATTCTTTTGACAAACAAGCTTTTTTTCCAAACAATTTTAAATATAGCACAGAGTGATTCTTTTTCTTCTGTCGAAGAATTTGTCATTCAAATCTAATAGAAAGTTAGGATGCGTTCCATCCGATTTTTTTATCTTCATGCACCGCCTCTGAAGTATCCATTCTTGAAATATCTACTCAATCTCGATGCATACTCTGATTGTGCCTCGTGCTACCCTTTCACAATTCCTTATCATTTAACAGAGGGCCTTCTCTGAATTTACTCTGAAGTTTGGACTATTTCATTTTAGTGGGCGAAAATCCGCACAGGTTGCTAAAACCACCGGCTGAAAACAGTTTTGAACAATTTCTTGACACTTTTCTTGCCGTTGTGTCCAAACTAACAAACAAACCAAACGAGGAAGAGCCAAAGTTGGACATTTTTGCTGAACCCCCTTCTTCCGAAACAAGCGAGTCTAATGGGAAGACAAAGCTGGAAGTGCCTGATGGACCTTGTGTTTCGGAACCAACAATCAACCATGCCACCGAACCAAGCTCGGTCACAGCTAGCGAGTCTCATGTTCCCATACCTGTGAGCAATAAAAATGACGAGAGTGCCACCATAAGCACTGTTCATGAATCTCAAGTTTTCCAGCCGAGAAGGAAATCTGGTGGAAATCTGCAGTTAGGCATTTCCAATTCACTTGTAAGCAAAGTAGATGGCACGGAGATAAAAGAGATAGTTCTCAAGGACTCTGTCATGCTGAGACAAACAATCAAAACTGATGGTGATGGTGACTTAGAAGTTTCTGGTCAACTGAACAAGCCTAAACCAACCAAGAAAACTGCTGTCAAACAACCAAAGTTGAAAGTATCCCGAAAACCTAAGCCTGCAGTGTCTCGCAGTCTCAAAGGTAGATTCGGATCAGTTATGCGTGGTGTGTGCATCTACCCCCCAAGAATTCATATTGGAGTCGGCTGGTTCTTTAATTTAAATCGAGACGTTTTAATCTAAAAGCATTCAGACTGACTAGGAAGTTTCGTTTGTACTTTTCCCTCTCGTCACACTTAAACTTTTCTTTGCTCCTTTTTTAAATTTTCAACGATTTGCATTATTCTTTCTATGAGGTATGCATGAATTTTAACCTTTTATTTCGTATGGACTAACATTTTTTTGGCCAACCTCTAACACCAATACCCTATCATAATCGTGTAACATGACATCGGTACAATGGAATGTGTGCAAAAGCAATCCAGTGAACGATTATTTACTACTAGCACATCATTTTTTCTGGATATGTCATCGCATGCATCGTTTTGCGTATTTTCTGGTCACTCAATAAGATCTAATTTTCCGATAACCTTCCTGCCCAACACCATTGCTACAACATTGCCGAATGAGCAGCAACATTGCTGAGTTACAATGTTATTTTACTTTTAGATCTGCTCGCAATATTGCCAAGGACTATTCTAAAAATGTACCTACCTTTGTGTTTTGGGCAAACTACTCTAAAAACACTGTCATATCTCGATGTTGACGCGATATTTGCATTTGAAAAGCGGCTGCCAATTCCTAATGGGAAAATACATTGTAAGTGATGAAAAGACCAGGTCTGTCGCGCGATGTTACGTCACAAGTATGGCGGATCCGTTACCGTGTAAAAGTGGCCGTTTCGAATGGGTCGGTTCCAAAAACAGCTTTTTTTGAGTTTGAGAGGTCATTTCAAGTTTGTTTAGTAGCGCCATCGTTCTTTTCGTGAAATTTGCCATAGGAATCAGGCATCAATTTGCAAATCCCCGCACCTTGCAACAGGCCCATCCTTCTTGATTTCTTTCTTTCACTTTACCTTAAATTTTATGCATGCTAAGAAAGAGCACTAACAGTGATTTATTTTTTGATTAATTTTTTGACAAATCTCAACGAGAGGCGAAAGAAAGGAGAGGATTCAGTTCTGTATTTTTGCTGTACAGCCATTCAATTTAATAGAAAGGAGCTTTACAAAAGCCGAACAAAATTCATATATTTTCATTTTCTGATTTTTGCTTTTAGTTTTCGATAGGTACTCATGTCCAAAAATGGATGTGACATTATTTAGGCTCCGAATTTTACTGCTCGATTGCACAGAGTAAAAATTCCTTTATAATTTTAATCTGATTTATAACTCTTCATACGTTGATTGTCAAGTCCAAATCAGTCAAAAATTATCTAAGAGACCTTCAAGAGCGTTTATTTTCCCAGTCCTGATATACTCGGAGAACCCAGAAAACTCCACTGCAGGTGGGAGACTTAAACGAAGGGATCATTGCTTTTGATTTTAAATGCATGTGCTGTGTGTCGTGATAAGTGTTGATTTTTATCCAATTTGCATGTTTACTACTTTGCATGGTAGATGGTTTTTCAAGTCGCCTTGACTGGTACTCAGCAACGGTGGTTCACCCTAACTACAGCACGTCGATCAACTCTCCGCATGCCTCTACCACTAGCCACTCGCCGCAAGCAACTAGTACTACAAGCTACTCGCCTCAACCTACTAGCGCCACTAGTTACTCACCACAACCCTCCAGCGCTACTTGCTGCTCGCCGCAACCCGGTAATTGTGCCACTAAACAGCATGAGCCGCCAAAGCCTCATTTTAGCCACCGTGCTGTCTCCAACAAGTCAGGTAAAATTTGTCCCTGTCAAGTTTAGCCACATGTGTAACGAGCTCTAATAGTCCTTCAATTGATTCCTAAAACCTAGGTTGCAAAGGGGAACTGCCCAAGTAGCTTTTTTCAACGGAAAAATCGCGATTTGTTTTGCGGTTTTGTCGGCGATAAAATCGCTGAGATCATCAACATCTGAGCGATTATCCTCGATCTTGTTTCAATAAAATAGCGATTTTATCGCCCGGCAATTTATCGCGATATTATCGCAACAAAAATCGCGATATATCGTCACCTTCCAGGCAAAGTATCACAAGCGACATGCGACGTTTAAAAATTTCCGCCGCCATTTTATTTCTTTACTGAGAAATTGTTGGTTGAATCTGTTCGGAAATTTCACTAAATTTTATCGGCAGCACAAAGAAAATTCAGTGAAATTTTCGGACAGCTTCGTTGAACAATTTCTCTGTAAAAAAATAAAATGGCGGCGGAAATTTTTAAACGTCGCATGGCGCTTGTGATACTTTGCGTGGAAGGTGACGATATGGCGATTTAAACTCGGTTTTATCGACGAAAATTGATCGCGATTTTATTGTACAAAAAATTGCGATGCATAGCGATTTAATCGCCATAAATCGTAATTTTTTATTCGATAATATTGCGATAAATTGCCACCGATACGATCGCGATAATCAACCGATAAAATCGCTATTTATCGTGACCACTGCTACTTGAGTGTAGGATATAAGCTCTGACTCCTGTGGCAGAGATACATCGATCCTTTTTTAGGAAAGTGACTCAACCCATAAGTTGCATACCTCCATAATAGGTGTTTCAATGTATCAGGGGTGTGAAGTACCTACTCATGTACTGAAAGTTTCAATCAAAATGGGTTTTGTCTAGGTTTTGTTGAGAATGAAACTTTTTTTGCCCCACATCATTTTCCCCTTTAAGCCATTTTAAAGGAAGAGATAACTTCCCTTAAGTACCGTATATTATTCATAGTCGTTCCTCAACCCGTAAGGCCTCCGTGAGTCTTAAAGTTACATCGGATAAGGGGGCCTTAACGTTCAAGGAACGACTATGAATATTATCCCAAGGCTTAGTGAAAAAACTGAATTTTCAAATTGCAATAACAGTTATTCGCCCAATGACGTGAAAGTAAGTTTTCAGAGGTAATTTTATGCCAATCCATCCATTTCTGGTCACATAAAAGTAAAACGAAGGGGAGGTTTGCGGAAGTCCAGATAAAGTTCCAGAAAAAATCACACAATGAGAAAAACGATGATAAAAATACGCGAAAGAGGAGAGAGTTGACATGACAATGATAATATTAATGTTTTTTTAAATGTGCGCTAGAGCACACCAAAAGCTAAACTTGGAAACAACGCATCTGCATTGAAAAAACGGTCGTCGATGAAGTTTTTCGGCGATCCGATCACCAACTTTTGATGATTGGGTTGCTCCTGTTGGCAATCTAATTGTCAACCTAGGGATCGAATCACTGATTCTTAGTGGCTACATTTCACACAAAAATTTGACTACTTTGCCGAAAAACGTTTTTTCAGTGTCACAAACTTTCTATTGCGGTTTTTCTTTTCGGTCAGAAAATTAATCAACTTAATGTCTGAAAATGTTCCATAATTTCTCTTCTCTGATTACAAGTAAGGAGTGTTCTGTAAGAGTTTCAAGCAACAGAACTGACTTGTTTCCCTCTATTTAAAAAAAAAAAAAAAAAAAAAAAAAAAAAAAAGAAGAACAGAAGGGAAAATGTCAAGACAAGTGCAATTGATTTGTATGGTTTCTGAGTTAAGCTTTCGATCTGTCAGCCAAAATAACATAGCCAAAAATAAAATCACGTGGGGTACAATATTGATCACATGAAACCATCTCCTGGTGATTGTGATGTAACGGTTGTAGGACATTTTGTCAACGATTTTTTGTCCGCGCACCTGTTTTTTCCAGTGGTTGACGTCCACGCATTTTTTCGGTACGGGAGTTTTGGTTCACGCACCAATTCAGACGCAAAGTTCAGTGGGCCACATGTAGCAACAATGACTTGGTCCAAGCGTTATACTTTAGCCCGTATGTAAAATTATATTGACAATATACCGAAATGAGAAAATGGTGAGAGAAGGAGCTCATTCTTTAAAAGAAATGTTACTTTCTTCTTTTGATTCATCTTTTCGAATTGTCATTGGTGAATATTCGGTTTTATTTCTATCCTTGAAATTTTCCATATAAAATATACTTTATGTATACTTTTTTTATTTTATTTTTTTTATTTTAAATAAAAATATTACTTCCTTTTAAAAACACTTGCATTTTTAAAACGTGGCAAATATTTGTAAAATATGGCATCGATATTAATCTCAATGAGTCGTAAATTTATTGAAAGAAATTATACAAAATTAAATAAAAGAGGATAAAAAACCAAGAACCACGCAATCTTCGGTTTTAACCCATTTGTGCATCGATCTTTTAGAGTCAAATACGTTCAATTTTGAGTGTTTGGTTTTGCGTCCACCACGCTGCAGCAAAGAAAAAGCACAAAATATTTTTAAAAAAATTAAAATGCTTTTGAAATCATTAAATTTGACACAGATTCATCCACCTTTACATTTACAAAACACTTATTATATTTTTCTTTAATACATATTTTTCCCTCCATCAATGAGTTGAAGAACGCTGACTCCGCGAGTTATTAGAGCGTAATACTGAGCGGAGCGGCGTGCTGCCGGCGCGGAAAGCGCCCAACTTGGCGCCTACAAACCTAGAGGGATACTTCGCGCATTGCACAACGCTTGAAGTATCCCTCTAGGTTTGTAGGCGCCAATGCGCGTTTTGTGCTGACCAGCCGCCCGCCGCGGCGCGGCGTTTACAAAAATGCCAGACAATAATGCCACATTTTAAAAATGTAAATGTTTTTAAAAGGAAGTGATATTTTCATTTAAAATAAAAAAAAATAATGATAAAAAAAGAGTATATGTAAAGTATATTTTATATCGAAAATTTTATGGATAGGAATAAAACCAAATAAAAAAAACACTAAAAAGTGGCTCGAACTGCATGTAACAAGGTGGATAAATGGTGCTGGGTCCACACCATTTCGCGGGGAAAACAAAGCCAAGAAGTATCAAAAATTATAATTAGCGTCAAAATTATTTTTTGAACTCTAGTTCCAAATTCTAACTTTTATCTCAACATAAAATTATTAAGAATTAAACGTGAGGGGGAAAAAGTAAGTACATAAATGTGTGAAATTCTGTTACTTATTCTCTACTTTAAAACGCATGCAAAAAGTTTTCTAATTTGTAAATATTATGCACCTTTCGCAAGGGTTTTTATTAAAAATAGTCCCTCTTTTACAACTTGGAGTTCAAAACTTTAGGAGAATCGGCTTTTTTCGAAGTGCTGAGTTTGAATTCAAGCCAAGTTTTTGTTCGTTTAGGATTAACTTCATCTTGAAATGGCTCAAATCTAATTTCATGATGTTGACTCTTTTTTCTTATCTTTATCTTGCTTTTGTTTGAATGATAACCTCATTGATGATAATATAAGTGTCAGTATTTTCCATCAGAATATAAGTTTTGCATGTAAATGTTTTGCTCATGCGTTTGTTGTTTGTGCATGTAGAAGAAACGGAAATCAGTTATCAAAGGCTGAGAGCAGATTCATCAGATATGGATGGTAAGAATCCTTCTTCTAATTTTTCAGATTTTTTTTCCAACTCCTGACAGCCAGAGCATAGGTACATCAAGCAGGGCTTTGAAAGTGCATTTGTCAAGAAAGTAGGATAGGAATCCATTCGAGTTGTTTCTTTATCCACTTCAGTTTAGTCTTCGAGCCAACTACACCCCTTTATTTTTAGTTAACTTGTAATATATTGTCACAGGTACCTATCTCAGGTGTTCTTTTTTCTGACACTCCATTTTTGGTGGAGGCTCATTTTCCTTTACCAAAATCGGAAAATGCATCTCGAGGTTTGGAGATTGTACCTACTATAGGGTGCAGCAGCGTACTTTGGGATATTTTAGAACATACAATATTTTAAACTTTTTTTTCTCTCTTTTTTATTCAATCGGCGCGCTTATCGATAAATGCGGAGGACAATTCCTAAGATTTTTCATTTTTCCAGGAAAATTTTGCCTAATAGAATCATCACCCATTAAATCCTCTCTTGGCATTAATCCTTCTTCTTTCAATTCATTCATCATTCACCTCGTCACTCTTTACTCACCATATCATCCCTCCTGTGGACTTCTGGCACCTTTGCCATCTCAGTTTGAATCATTTCACTCTTAATTAACGGACATTGAAATGCTTCACAATATAAAAAAGTAATGGTTGGATTAAAGGAGTTCTTAAATCGGTCTTTCGAACTACCATTTCAGGATTAGGGCCAAAATTTCAGTGTGCTCTCTCTCAACACTACCGAAATCTTGTTTTATCAAATCGTCACTCATTTATCAATCAAGTTTATTTTACCCTTCCACTTTATGAAGTGGTTTCTTTACTGAAAGGCAGTCGCTCACCAATTTGTGATGTCTAATCGATTATCTGACACTTTGTTGGGTTTTTGTATTATAGAGCTGAGAGTACTATGTTCCAACAAGACCCTCTCCCAGTTATCGTCAAATAATTCTTATGGTTCTGGTAAGTTCTCCCTGCCTCCGCTAATTTAATCACATCTCTTTTCAGCAGGCCTTTGGTGCGCCAAAACCAGGTGTAAAAGTGAATTCAGCACACCCTCAGTTGGGTAGTCTAAAATTTCCGAAGGATTTAAAAAAGATTGGAATAAAATAATCGTTTCTGCGGACCTTTTATTCTGTTCTCACCATACTTAGAGAGTATTAGTACTTACATCTCGCACAAACTGTACTGATTTGATTTTTTTTATCTTCCTTTGGAACTGAGGCTGTAGTGAAAACATCCATTTAAAAACGAGTAAAGTCTTCCAAGGTGAGCAGAAGCTCAGAAGTATGATGGAATACATTGAAATTAATTTTTTCAAGTTTTTTTCTTTCCGTATTTTGTAATACTACCTAAACCATTTTTTTAAAGAAAATTTTCTTGTTACTCTTACAAGTTTTTATGGTATTTTTTACTTTCACCTCGAAACTGAAAAACTTAACTTCGGCAGATTTCCTGCTTTCTAAACTGGCAGAATTACCCTCTGTTTCTTTTCGCACAGTGATGTGCACACATTCTTAAAATGAATTGAGGTTTTTATGCTAGCTAATTGATTCTTGGAGTTAGCTAAGCATGCAGCCAAAAAAATACCAATGAACTGAATCCAGGCTGCCTTCTCAGCAGAGTAATAGCACCATTATGAGACTCAATCAAACTGCAAACACTTTACTTTGCATGCTTTTTGGCGAATTTCGCTTTTACCTAATTTGCTAATTGTCTGGTGATTCCAGTGCGGCTGAAATAGACTGCATGGTTTTACCAACTAGGTGTGTGGTGTGAGTGTTCTGTCCTGTGTTTTACTGCTATTGTCGACTCAGTCATGTAAATATGTCAGGTGTTAAGCCATGTAAAAAGTAACAATTTCTTTAAGTCTCCATTCCTCACTCACCAGGTTCAGTTTTGCGAATCTGTGCTGTCACCGCAGCTTTAACAATCTCATCAAGTTGTGGAGATCCCAGAATTGATATTAATGCGTTCTCTTTAGGTTACTTTACACTTCAAAGAGGCATCATACAAAGCAATCTTGACACTATTCAAAAAGTCAAAAAAAATTGTGTCTGATTTGCAATCTAGACCACAATTTTTTTTTTTTTTTTTTTGAGAGAGGGGTAGAAGGATCTTAAAAATTAAAATTTTATGTACATTTTTTCATGTGTGCTACGTATTTGCCGAAGCAAATTTTTTGCACTATTATTTTTTTTGTCTTGACGAGAAAAGTAAATACCTACTTACTCTGTGTATTATTAGTATTTAACCTCTAAATATTTCAGGACAGGCACATATTTCCTGTTAAATTCAAATTTGTACTCTCTACTGAGAGATGCACTTACATTTCTCAGTGAATGGAGGCATGCTATATTGAGATCTAAGTAAGTTTAAGTAGATGGCCCAAAGAAGACATGACGTGCATTTCATGCAGCAGGTGATACATTCCAAGTTAGTCCCCATGTAAAAAAGTAGGTCATCAAACCATTCAAAATTGATCACGTATCTGCACTGCACCAGCTCCAAGTGTGGACAGAGTAGGCAACTTCAGCTGTCTTGGACAATTTTTTGGAACTCAGACTTATTTGAAAACCTAATTGGATTTCCACTTTCACACGTTTGAAATCCATCATATTCATAAAACTCTTGAGCAATTGAAAGAATCTGCAAATTTTGGTTCTCCATAAAATTGAAGAGCGGAAATCCTTGGGGAAAGTCTCAAGAGAACTTTTCAAACAAAAGAAAACCCTCTGAGCATTTCTTTTGCCACCAAAACTAAATCCAGATTTACACAGCAGATGATATAACACAATAAGACAGAAAATATATAAAGGCTAACAGACAAATTAGTAAAAATCTATACAACATTATGACAATATAATAACAACATCTTATTCAAAAATACGATCAAAACAAGGATATGCAATGCAGAATATGAAGATGCAGGTAGTATAGTGAAAGCAAATAATATGCACTTACCCTAAGTTTGGTCTTTTTGGGATTATGGAAAAATTTTAAGTTTCATAATGAGTTTAACGTCCTCTAACATCTTCCTATGCTTATCTATCTTCCAGTAGAAAATTGTTAAAATTTTAACCAAACTCTGAAATAATGGTTTCAATTACGACGCCTTTTCAATGGTCATCTAGTCAAGAAAAAAAAGGCATAAAGTCTGTTCCATAAAAAAAAATCTCACTTGTTCTTTACTTGCTTGTTTCAGCACGCAAGCAGGAAATTATTAAAATGACCGAACAACTAATCGAAGCTATCAATACAGGGGACTATGAGGCCTATACGTAAGTATCTGCAACTATTTTTTCAGAAAATCCCAGGAGTCTGTCTCCATAAGCTCAGCCAGCCATGACGCCATCATCCTGGATCTGCCTGAAATTTTGTAACAGCCCACCGTGCACAGAACTAACTTTGGACTTCATTTTGCACTGAGGGACTACTATTTTCTGCAAATCCATTGAAACACTTATCTGCTTAGGGCACGTACGTTGTGTCTAAAATTAGCCGAAAATAGTGGTCCTTTATTTCAGAATGTAGTCCTATCATTAAAATAGCAGATTTTTCAAGTTCATTAAAGAAATTGGAGTTAAAGTGATTGATTAAAAACATAATGCAATGTCCCAAATGGCCTGCTCACTCGATCAAAGCAGGAGCTTAAATTTAAGCGTTTCTTTATGGGTCTTTCCCACGTCAAAAAACAAGGTTTGAATACAGAGAGCAGAGACAGTTAATCATTTTAAGAAACTAATTTGAAATTTAATTGAAATTATTTTCTCCATCTGATAATCTGTTTGAGAGGTATTAGTTCTTATAGATGACATGATCTTTAGCGATTCTGGAATAAACTCATATTTGTAATGTAATCCTTATTTTATCCTCCTCTTCAAATTAAAACCTTATATTAAACAAAGTTTACTGACATTTCCCCTCCAAATTATTTTGTATCCTTTGAGTTTAAATTTTCTTAACCGGTTATTTCTGTTATGATTTCAGAAAAATATGTGACCCTCATTTGACAGCTTTTGAGCCTGAAGCATTAGGTAATTTAGTGGAGGGAATGGAATTCCATAAATTTTACTTTGAAAACGGTAAGTCAATCAAGTGTTCCCCTCAGGTATACCTCTCTCTCAACTACATTTCATGCTACTGCTTTTGTCATGGGAATCTAATGATAATTGAGTTTTCCTAGTAATGTACCCCTTTTTCAGTTTCGAAAGTTCACCCGCCTTTCAATACATTTCATGTTGGTATATCGTATATTTATGAAAAATCAATCCTCATATTGGAGAAATTTGTATCTTTACCATGGATGTTAACATTTCTGATCTATTATTTCTTCAACCAAGAAGTAGCCACAGTTTTTTTCTCAACATTGTAAGAGTGCCTTCAAATTGTTCAAGAAACTTCAAGCCTCACATATTTAAAAAGGATGGGCCTCCTGAACTTTAATAAAATTTGACAACATGTTTGTGATGTCACTAATATTTAATTATCAAGTTGAATCCCAGACTTATGAAATTATAACCATTGCATTCTAAGTGAAATTGATAGGGGAATGAATGATACCTGCATTTCTCTATTCCTTTTCCTCTCGTGCAGTTTACAGGAGTGCATTTTTAAACGTTTTTCATCGTCATTCTCTCATTATTATTTGTTTCAGTTGTAGGAAAAAACTGTAAGGCAATCAACACTACTATTCTAAATCCAAATGTACATATGTTGGGTGAGGATGCAGCTTGTATCGCCTATGTAAGACTTACTCAGTACATGGACAAGTAAGTTCCCTCTCTAGCTTCTTTTGTTTTTCTGGTCCGTTGATAAAATAAGTACAGAAAAAAGTACTTTAAATTTGAATATTGTAAATATGCCCTGCTTACATTTTCAATGGTAAGGTGTTTACTCTACAGCAGTTGATCATTGAAATTGATGAAAAAAGTGATAGACAAAGAAGACAGAGAAAATATTGAGGAATCTTATTAGTTGAAATGTGGTTGTTATGTATTAAGGGGAAGAATGATGGACTAAGTAAAGGGTCTCTTCAGGGTCACCATTAGTTAGTCTATTTCATACCCCCTTTGTCCATTACAACCACCTGTCTCATCCAATAGGAGCACTCTTTTTGCCCTTTGTCTTCTTCATTGATCAGTTTAAATTATCAGCCCGCAGGTCCCAAAAATCCAGTTTAAGTTAGATTTTTCCTGAAAGCTCCAGAAGTTTGAAAAAGGTCCAATTTGCCTCCAACTTCCGGAATTTTTCCTTTAAAAATTGCAAAAAAAGCCAAGTTGAGTGGATTTTTAAAGGCAGTGCCAGACAAGCGATTGCTAGTGAATTCTGAATAATCAAATTTTTGCTTTCAAAGCTTACACAAAGTCTTCCAAGTTAGTAATTTTTTTTTACTTTTAACTTAGAATGAACCGCTAAGCAGAGTAAGATATTAAGCACTAGAGCTCACGTTTCCTCATGAAAATTTAATGCAGAACATATTGAATACTTTCGAAATCAACACATACGTGAGAATTAGATATTCTTAGTTTACTCCGTAAACAGTTTTAAATTAGACTTCATAATCGATGGTACAATATTTTTTAATTTATAATTGAGTTGAATTTCTTGTGACTTTAAATTGCATTTTCTTGGCCCAAATTTGATCAATGCATCCACAGCTGTGTATGCTGTGGTCATGATATCCTGTGAACTGATGGTTACGCCAGGCCAAAAAGATCACAGTGGCCAACAGTTTTTACAGAAAGTTTTCATTGCACTATTATGTGTCAGAGCTGCTATCTGCAGGTCGTCCATGGAACTAATTCAAGGAAAGTAGTTATATACGCAACCAATAAGAAGCGCTAGCACTACATTGATCGATAGGAATTGTGGTTTGAAGTGTTGAAATTTCGTCTTTTTGTTTGTAACCTGATGGAAACTATTATGTTATAACAGGTCAGAAGGTAGTGTAATGCATGGAAAACCAACAAATTACGGCACCTTATTTTATAAATGCTTTTCCCAACGGAAAACAACAAAACATGTGCATTAGCCCTGTTACTAAAAGGCAAAAATCTATCTTATTCTTTTCCAGGCAAGGGACAGCGCACAGTCAGCAGTGCGAGGAAACGAGGGTCTGGCACAAACGTGATAACAAGTGGCAAAACGTCCACTTCCACCGCTCAGCAAATTCGCCTTCATTCTCATTCGCTCCATCAGCACACAAATAATATGAGATCATGGCTCATTTTCATTGACGTTTAAAGACACTTACTTGTTTTAGGTCTATCCTTTCGACTAGTTTCAAGACTATTTCAATTATATAATTCATTTACATCTATTTATTGTACATTTTTTCGCTGCAGATGCTCTCTTTCCCCCTTTCAGCCACCTGTTCTGTTATCTAATGTAACCATATGTAATATAACCATATTTATTTACATTTATGTACACATATGTTTGGATGAAAACAGAAATTCATCGGTGAATTAACCACTCGCACTTTAGACCACTAATTCCTGCCTGTAGTGCCATTTTGCTGTTCTTTTCAGAAAACAGAAGTACACATCCAACTTGTGGCTACTGAAATTAGGTATAAAAAACTAAAAACCTTTTTTCAAATATTTATGTCACACTGGGCAAAAGGAAGGAAGCTGTCCTCCCCCAGAAGTTAGTGGTGCTCCTCTCAATCTAAGTTCAAAGAGATTTTTTTCCTTTTGGGAGGCAGTATTTGTAGAAGCCTGGTCCACCCTTTGCGCAGAAAATTTTTAATTCCACCCATGCTAACTCAAAATCAAACCATAAACAAAAATGTAAAATATTTGACTGAAATGGATAGTTTTAGGAACCTAAAAACGGTTTTGGGCCTAATATTACTTATTGGTCTCTGAGTATTTTAGTAGTAAATTGGGAGAATAGAATAACTATGAATTTGCAAGGGAACGAAGAACGGTTTCATGAATTTCTGTATTTATTCATATTATGAAAATGCAACTGTGATTTTGTTGTAGTTGTATCTAGGTACGTTTGTATGTATAAAACAACTCACTCATGACTACATTTATTATACATCATTTTACTGCGGATGTCTTTATCTCTCCTCTGCCCATCCGCGTTGTTGTTATGTATTGCTGTAAGAGGTTTTAAGTTAAGATCATTGTTTTTCAAACTTGTTTCTTGATATTGTTTAAGTTTATCGTGTTCACAAAGACCAGATTTGTAGGAGAGCCGGCCTCTCTCCGGAGCATAGCCCGACAAAATTATGATTGGAGATGAGAAACTGTCTCTTCTTAATGTCTGATGTAGGAAATTTCCAAATCATTTATTCTTTGTTTACGCTGTTCCTCTTTGAGCTCTTGACTTGATGTTTCAGGAATTAAGATAATATTTTACTAACTTTAGAGAAATCGGTGTGAAAGCTTTGAATTTTCAGGACCTTTTTTATTGTTCCTGCATATCAAATTTGTTACAAAAAGCAAAACTGATTTGCTAAGTGTCTCTGGTTAAGTTTCAGCTGTTCGCTTGAGAGGAAAAGTGCTCTTAATTCACAAAGTTAATTATTTATAATTTTAAATCTCTTAGTGCCATTTCCAAGAGTCTGAAGAGTGTTTTTGTGCTGATACAAACATGAGTTATCAAATTATTTAACGGTTTTCTCTTTGTGCAATTTGGAAGTTGTCTGTACAGCGCGTATTCAGGGAAAGCTCTGTTTTCAATTTCATCTCCAAAACATTAAAGTTAATTCAACTGTGCAGCTACGTAATAAGTGCCATGAGTATTGGTCGAATCGATGAAATGAAAGTATTAAAATTGCTTCAATTTTCTGGCAGAGCAAATTGTGCCAGGGACTTTTTCACGCCTTTCAATCAATCAGTTAACGAATTGCCGTTAAAATGGATTTTTCAATTATCTATTATTGTCGTTTTCAAAGAGCTGAGGCCACTTTATTCAGCTACTATGTGGCTGATTGATTTACTTAAGGCTAGAGTACCTTGTTCCAATTTTTTTATTCCTTTGGACGTTAACTTGTATTGTGATTCAAGTAATACCGTGTATTCGAGACTACTTTTAGTAACTTGATGTGCGACTTTTCTGACACATCCAATCCTTGTACATTTCTTTATCTTTGTAAATATTTTTTTAATGTAACTCTTTCCTCTTGGGTATTTCTCTCTATTTTTTATTTATGTGGAGTGTGCAACTCAAAAATTTCAGTTGCATTCATTCCCAAATTCTGTATAATTTTTTACCTCCTCTGTATTGCCAGGTGTATTATTACTAGATATCACCCTGGAATGCCTTCTGCATCAGCCTCTTAGTGGAACTAGGTATATGAAGATGAAACATGAGTATGCAACAAGAAGTTTCATGCACTTTATTCATTTGCTGAGTTTTGTTGGGCGATTATCGTGTTTCCAAAGTTTTCAAGGTTTCGTCTGAAAGCGTAGCACCTTTAAGTATAATGAAAAATACAGGCCCTCAATAGACATGTAGTAAACATATTTTCACGAATTTCTGAGAGTCTCCACATGTTGTAATCCATTGATGGAAAAAAAATGTTTTAACCAAACTCAAGAGCAATGCTCACAATGCTCAGAATCTTTTCAATGTTTTTCGCCGGCAACCATTCCTAATTTCTCTCCTAGTTTCAAGATCATTTATTCCAAACTTGATCAACTAAGAATATGAATGACTCATAAAAGATTTTGAGGATAGCTGAACTCCTCGAAGTACTTTTGATAAATTGGATCACATTTTGCAATTAAGAACTATAATTTCTGGTTCAGTTTAGAAACAACGTATGTGTCACTAGTTTTCCTATGGGCATAAGTGTTTTTAAAAATGAGCTAGAAGTTATGGTTCCGAACTGCAAAATGTAGTCCAATTAATTGATTAATGAATTCAATGTACTTAATTAATTTAATCGATTATCATAAAAGTTCATCTTGAAAAATCTCTTATGATCCTTCTCAACATTACCTCATTTTGTTTCTCTTCAAGGGACACTCAATCCCAGTTCCCACTTTTCACTGATTTCATCTGAACTGATCTCAATCTCGCCGAAAGTATGCGCGCTGCATTTGCTCAAGCTCTTTTCTTTTCTTTCAACGACAGCTTAACTTCAGCATGCCTCAGAAAACTTGCCATGAAGACTCAAACCTAGTATTCTTAGCGAATAAGATGTAAAAGTTGACAATTTTTATCTTTAATTTGAATCATTAACCAAACTTATGCTAAGAACTAAAAAGAATTAACTTAATTAAAACCTAATGAAACTATTTGTTCATTTTTACTAAGAGACTAGTTAATCCTCTCGTGTTACTTTTTTCACTGTCTAGTTTTTACTTATCATTTTTGTATACTGTGCAGCATGTAAACCTCATTTTTCTCCCTGTGTTTTGCTTTACTGGAAGTGTACATTGACCGACCCTGTATTTTCCTTCGAAATGTTATTGAATTCAAATTATTTTAAAAACCTTGTATCATAGTTCTATTGATTTATTGTTAACTCTGAGTTGTTTATAAATTTAATTATTTTGTTTTCTCTTTATAATTTTATTTGGATTTTTGTTGGAATTTCCTTGGCTTGTTTTTGCTTAAGATTTTGGTTGATCCTCTATTATGCACAGAGCTTTTGTACCCTCCCTAATCTTTCCTGTAGTTGTATTTTCAAAATTGAAAATTACTTTAATTCTCAACATTCATTGAAAATCCCTCAGAAAGAGAAAAAATAAAAGAAAGAAAACCCAGCCAAGCCCTAGGGTATTCCCAATACCAAGCATGCATAGTAACCATGTTTTAGTGTCACTTTAGGATTATCTTTTTACTGTTGAGAGCTCTCAAGTTAACGGACTTTCTCAAGCAACACTTTGATTTCATTTGTTGCCCTAAAATCATGTATTAGTAATTTCAAAATTGAATTCATTGCTACATATTTTAAGGTTATCATTATTTTTCCCCGGTAATTTCTCTTACAATCAAAACTAGTAACCTAGGTGGGTGCAAAAGCTCTAATAATTTGTTGCATTTGGATGAGAGTTCAAGCCTGGAACCCAAGGCATAGAAATCTCACAACAGCTCTCGAAGAGGCCTAAAGTTTTTGTTTGACTCATGAATCCTGATCTCTTAAAATCTTAATTTAATCAGTTTTCTAATGATTCTTTGCAACCAGGAAGCCAAATCAATAATTAAATTTGCAATTAGATGAGGCCTGATTTCCAGCTTCCTTTTCAATTTTAAAGTTTTATTAAAAAAAAAGAAAAAGGGTACAATTGAAGATCTAAGATTAATTCATGGATTTAATACAAGCAGTTGATATTAATGTCCATCCAGTGGAATAAGACGGTTTATTTGGACTGTATTATCCAGAGTTAACCTAACTTCATTGTACATTGCCTAATATTTTTCTCATGTTACTCTATTTGGAAAAACTAACAATATTCTGCCTTGAAATTTTGTGAGAATTTCCTTTACAATCTAGCGAAAATTCATAGAGAGTTTCAAGGCACTATATCATTCAGTTTGGTATTAAAAAACCTAACCTGAGAGGAAATTAGACAACGAGTCTCAGGTCGATTTTCATCAAATTCCTCCATGCCACCTGCCCTCAGATGATTAGTACTCAATCAAATCTCTCATTTCCAATTCCTAATTTCATATATTCACCGCCCCCTATATCACTATAACATGACTCTGCAATATTGCTGCAACATCTGGAGAAGGGGAGAAATTAAAGAAATTGTACAACAAGGCAGCGTTTCCAGACATAGTCAGTTGAATGCTTTAAATCCTTAGGAGGGTGAAGGTCTACAAATAATTATTGTTAATCGTCTTACTTTTCAGGTGGAGCGCAAAAGTTGGGGGAATTTGCGATGAGAATGTTTGAGTATTAGATCTTTTGTGGCTCATGAAATGCTATATCTCCAAGAATTTGAACTCTCCAATTTTTTGACTCAGTAATTTAAGGCTGAATTTGGCTTCATCCTTGGGTGCCTTGGAGCTGAATCTCTTGGATATATTAATTTTGTCAGACTAGACAAAGAAGGCAACTTCGTTTTAACACCTGCCTCTTGCCCTCTTTGTCAGACTCAAAATTAATTTTCTTTCTTGTCCCTAAAAACTGATATTTTAAGCAAACCGACCCAATTGTACATCTAGTCATGTTTCTATTATTGTGTAAAAATGAGATAATTTTAACCTGAAAGTATAGTTTCCATCAATTCTATGTTTGTATGTAACATAATCGTCTTTCTCGCTCTCCTCAAGCTACAACACATCTGTTTCTGGATGTTTCTGGCAGGAACCTCAAATGTTGCAGGACTTCACCGAAAGGTGAACAGAATCCTTATTTTTCAGTTTTGAGTTGAATAATTGTTCTGTCAAATCCAACAACTGTGGCCTGCTTTTTTCTAATCGCACTTCTATTTTTAATCTTACGGAGTGACTTTATTGAATTTTTACTATGATTAATTAGGTGTCACAAGTTTTCAAAATTTATTTTGGAAAATCATTGAATGAAATCTGATTCATGTCCCTTATATAGCGGGGCTGCGAGTACTGAAATTTACTTTTACAGCACAAATCTCAAGTTAAAAGCCATACAAACAAAACTTTTCGTATTTTCACCTCAAGAAAGTTGTCTTTGTTATCATTGACTGTTTTTTCAAAATTATATGATAGCTGATGTTGAAAAACATGCATCAGCACTGTTACATTTCAATGTCTTGACTATTCTCTGGTTAAGGAAAACTGAGTAGCATCTGATTTAGTGGTCGTATTGTTTGATTAATTGAAGTTGACTTTAATCTCTTTTGATAAACACAGTACAATGAATAAAATGTATTCAAGCTGTTTGGTTGGATAGAATCATCAAATGATGTAGCTCCTGAATTGTTCCATTCTTTTGAATTTTTTGACAGAAATCTGAAATGGAATTTGAGAGAATCGCGCAGAACAATAGCAGTTACTTTCCTCATCAAATATCCAAACAGGAAGATACAATTTTTAAAATCATTAAAACCAATGTATGATCTTTGATCGAAGTTGTCAGGAGTTTTTTTTTCCTTTTAACAGACAGCTTATTCAAAGGTAGGCTACATTTTATTGTGCCTAGAACCTGCTCTCACATTTTGTTTCAATTATGTTTAATGAATGAGCTCCTGTTTTTTATTTTCACTTGGACGTCAAATAAAAGAAAAGTTATCTTTTTTTCTTTTTGCAATGTATAACATGGAAGCATGATAAGAGGGAAATTCAGTAAAAGGGAAATGAACTCTCTTCTGTCTGCATTTATTTTCAATTAAGCTGTTCCTGATAAAGAATCCTCTTTTTCCAAGTCAAGCTCTCATCTTATATTGCACAATTTCTTCCAGTATAAAAGGATTTCAATGCAAAATTGAATCGTTCAGAAAAACATAACTCTCATATTTAATCATTATTCCTTTTATTCCTGTATGAATATGAATTTATGATTCGAAACTATTCCTCCCACAACTCTATTATTCTGTTAACGGAAGTTGAATGTTGTTCAAGTTTCTTTGTACTTAAATAGTTTCCCGTCTTAACTAATCTATCCTGTTCAGTTTTACAATGTATGTAACTAGAATAATATACTGTTGCACCAAAAGAAAAATTAATTACTCTGTACCAAAGTTATCTTTGATTGTTCTCGTGTTCTCGTTTGCACCTTTTAAAGTACTACACTCGAAGGATTTTTGCCTCGGGTAATTATGTATTCAAATGCAGTTCAATTTCATCTGCCTTTTTCAATGAAAGTTTAAATCATCTGAGTTTTAAATCCTCTTTCGTTTTCAACCACCCAGCAATTCATTCGCTCTCATTATTGAGATTAATAGCCTTTCATCAATTGTACGGAAAAATAATTTGATCTAATGCTTCTTGCTCTGCAATTGAAGGCTGAAAGGAACATCCGCTCAAATAGCGGCAGATAACTCATGGTCTGAAATTTGTTAACTTGAGTAAATTATAGCTGAACGGTGGTTTTTCTTTTTTTTATTTGTAAGTCTTATTTCTTCTCAAGTGTATTCGAACAAGCCAATCATTTGTTAATTTATTGTACTTTTTAAGGAGACATATGCAATGGAAGCTCTTTATGTTACGGAATCACAGAGAAAAAATCTTATTGCTTGTCTAAATAATAAACCTCAGCCCGTAAGTAAACCTCAAAGGATCTTTAGAATTCCTCCCTCAGAAATTTTCTTCCACTGAAGCCATTGATTCTTTCTAGAGAGAATGGAAGATTTCGGTCATTAATATCAAATTTCATCATAATTCAGTAAGATATCATTATAATGACACCAGTTTTGTTCCATTTTGTCAAGAATTGGTGGTATGAATTTAATAAATTGGGACAGAGGCTTGGTAGATTCAACCAATTTTTTTTTTCTTTTTTACATTTTCAATAGATTACTAGCGATGGAAAAATTGATAAATACCATATGTTTTAAATTTTGTAAACTTAATATTCCACTTAAAAATGACTATTTTGTCAGATAGGGAAAGTTCCTAGTGATACTTGGGGAGTATTTCTTTCTTCTTTTAAAGGTAAAGCTGATCTGCGAAGTAAGCACCTTTCTGTCTCGTTTAACTCTATGTATTTCCAATCCTTCATTGAAAAAGGCTATCTTTATAATGTGTACGCCTTGTAGCCCAAGTTTGAGGCCTAAAGATTTTGCACTAAGTGTTATTGAGTGACAAAGCGCGTATTTAAACAATCGTTAGAATGTAAAAGCCTTTTTCTCTTGTTTTATATGATCCCAAGTGGAGAAACACCATTCATCGTGAAACACTTTTACGGTGACTAAAGTACTAATCTCTGTAATCATTATATGTGCGAGGCAATTTAACTTGCTTGCGTTAGAAATGATTCTTCGCTTTAGAAAAAAAGTCATTAGTTTTTGAAGTGAAAGTAATGTGACACCCAAGCGCTGTTTATTTTTTTACGACAAACAAAAACACCTGTGAAAAAAACAAATCGTGGTTTCGTCTTTTAAATGTTTTAAAAGTTTTATTTTAGCTAACTAAAGTTTTTGATTCACACGTGCCCTTCGAGTAGTTTTGAGGATTAGATTCATAGATACACTGTGAAAGTTAAATTTCTCATTTTCTAGGTGTACGTTTGTTCTACTGTTGTACTGAAGTTTGTACTCTCTCCACCCCAGGACCGGACTACTTTTATACTAAACTTAGCATGCAAACAAGAAAATACCAAGCGTGTTTCTCTTTTCCCAAGTTGTAATATTATCCAACTTTTTATCTTTTCTAATATTTACAATCAATCACTCCAAATGGAAAGGCTCATTTCATCAATGTGCTAAAAAGAAATCAAAAAAATGAAAAAGATAGTATATCCTCTGATAAGGAAGAACAGTGCATTATGAAAACTCATCAATACAATACATATTGTGATGTTACGTTTTCCTCCTTTAGTAGTTTTTCTCCTTTTTTTTGTTCTTAACAAATTATCTAGAATCTCAAGGGGTCAAAATCAGTTACTACCTCGAAAAATCCTTAAAAGTTTGGGTTTCTAAAATGAAAGGAGTCATCTTTGAAGAGATTCATCATAATTTCCTGGAGCCCATAAAAAAAGCCCTCTGAGGCTACTCTCAAATCTGTAACAGAAACTTCCCAAATCCTCTGTGCTTCAGATAGTAAAATTTGGATCATTCAAAGCACAAATCCAATGATTAGGCCATGAAATTTAATCCCAAAACCCTTCTCCATCCCTCCAATCATGTTCTTTTCCCACTCTTTTCTTTTTAAACTGAGTCTGATCTCTCGATTTTGGACCCTTCTAAAAAGGGCCTTCACAAGCCTTCTCGTCCTTTCAGTCCCTTCTTTCTTGCTTGCTAGTGAGTAAAAATTAATCTCGGTCCCCTTCTCAGAAAAATCGAAATGAGTGTTCAAACAATGATAATTCAACACTTAACATAAAGATAAAAAAGTCTGTCTCTAAGTGTAGAACTTTGTATTTTTTAACGCAAACGTAGTCTCTTTTGGTCTCCAAGTATTATTTGATTTCCTCTATGATTTTAATATTTTCTGTGAATAAGATTTTGTATAATTTATTTAAGTATTTAATATGAATTTATAAATGAAGAAATGTCTTACGTTATCTTAATTATGTATGAATAAGATTTAATCTTTTTGAAAAAATTAAAAGAAAAATACCCACAATTTACTCTTGATTTCTAATTATTTCAATTTCCCCGTACTCTATAGAAGGAACAAAAGTCAAGAAGATCTTGCTCTAAAAATTTTGAAAGATCCAGTAGCAATGACATTTAAAAACTTGTAACAATCAATGCGGGAAAACCTTTAATCGCTAAATTTTTTTTTTTTTGAACATGCCATTGCCAAAAAACGGCGTGTTTTGTGGTAGGTAACAACATCTCAATTTCCGGATGGATCCAAGGAGGGGATATTGGCGTTTCCCAACCCTCTTCGAACAAAAATTCAAGAAACATTGTCAGCTTTGTATTTCGCCTAAATTGCAGTTAATTTTGCGTTTAGTGTGAGTGTCAAACATTTTTAGAATCTGGGGGNGGGGGGGGGGGGGATTACTTTTATAACACCTTCTATGAACTAAACTCAAGATTGATACCTTACTTACTTAAGTAACTCGTCAGATTTTGAAGAGTCAACCGTCAAGGTATCAAAGAGTCATGCGTTGACAAGGATTTTTTAATGGGAAACGTCTAAATGTCCCAACTCTACTCCAGTTTGAATAGACTTCATTGGCAGGGCCGGATTTACCTACTTGCCGCCCATTGGCCGCACGTATTTTGCCGCTCCCTTCTCATTCGTTTTGAAACATCAATAAAAACCATCAAGTGATCGTGCCGGAGGGGGGGGGGAGCATAAGACACGTTTACTCGTGTTGGGCACATTTTTTTTGAAAGCCGTGTCAACACTAGCAAAATTTCACGGAACTTTGCGCGAAAGTTAAGTTCCATAAACTTATCTCTATGTGAACAAGGCCTTCCATTTATGAGAAATGAACGAAAAAATTATGAAAAAACAAACATGAATGTGATTCAATCATTTTAACTTCCGCCGCCGCAAAGCGCTGACCGCACTGTGTTTGGCACAATGCGTGAACTATTCCAACAATCTTAGAGGCCCTATGCGTTTCACGTCGACCGCTGCTGACCGCACTGTATTTGACGCAATGCGTGAAGTATTCATGCAGTCTTGTAGGCGCTATGCGTTTCCCGCCGACGGCTGTTGACCGCACTGTATTTGACGCAATGCGTGAAGTATTCCTGGGGTCTTGTAGGCGCTAATATGTGTTACATGCTGACCGCCGCGCTCAGGGCTTCTCCTTTTCATCTCAAGTCCTCGTCATCATTGCTCTCTGCGCCGCGCCGCTCCAGACCAAATTCCGTGCTTGGTTTCTCTCCTAACTCGACTAATTAAAGGTTCTGTCTCTTGTAACAAGGTGGAGAAATGGTGCTGGGTCCACAACATTTCGCGGGGAAAACAAAGCCAAGAAGTTGCAAGAATTATAATTAGAGTCAAAATTAAATTTTTTGAATTCTAATGAGCACCAGTACGAAACTGAGGGGGGAGAGTGTTCAGCTCAGGCAGTTTGCATTGGAATATTAAGTTGGAGTCACGCCGAGAGATCTATACCGGTTTGGGCCTTTTTAGACCTCATCAGCAGATCAGCGCTCCAACTTAATATTCCAATGGAAACTGCCTGAGCTGAACAACCCCCCCCCCCCCCCTCAGTTTCGTACTGGTGCACATGAGTTCAAAAAATTTAATTTTGACTCTAATTATAATACTTGGAACTTCTTGGCTTTGTTTTCCCCGCGAAATGGTGTGAACCTAGCACCATTTCTCCACCTTGTTACATACAGTTCGGGCCACCTCTTAGTGTTTTTTTTTCGTTCTGTTTCGTATCACCGAAAGACGGCAAAATTAGAAATTACCACACTCTCCGGAGATGAGAGATTTTGTCCCCTTTCCTCGTTTTCTGAATCAGATTTTTTTATATACCTGTATTATAAAAAATTGCAAAATTTGCCGCCCCCTAAATTTGCCGCCATGGGCCGCGACCCATGTGGCTACTTTCTAAATCCGGCCCTGTTCATTGGGTGTTATCCGTGGCAAAATATTCAGTATGAGTGATGGACCATAAACACGTACTTATCGCCGAGAACACGATTTTTCAGGAGAGTGAAACAAGTTTCCTAACTTCCTTCAAGTTGACAATGCAAGCGTAAATCTTGGTGAAAATGTGAAGAATGGGATACTTACTTTTCGAGTCCCTTAACGTATTTAGCAAAATAATGTTGGCAATTACGAAATACGGTAGAAACACGGAGACCCAAGTAACACAGTGGAACGAAGATATTGAAATTGTAATTTTTTTTACCATTTAATTGCAATATTTTTACATTATTTAGTCGATTTATGCCGATTTTTAACAATCAACAAAATGAGCTTCTTGTGTCAGAACGTTACGCAATATGCAATGCAATGAAAAATAGCAACTTATCTCAATTGTGTTCCAATAAGTTTCAATATATGGGGCCCCTTCAAATAGAAGCTAGGCAACATACACGGCATGCAGTGGAATCGCTATATTTGAACTATGTAATTGCTACTAATGCAATCTGTGCTCCTTGGGGATACGTATTTTTGGGACTCAGGACCGACGCCCGAAACGGAAGCAAGATCCATCCATATAGGTCAGTCATTCCCGAAACCCAAATGAGAATCTTCTGCGCATGACGTCAGCATTACTGCCGCGAAAACCAGAAATGTCGGAAACAATGCTTTTCTTATGGGAGAGAACAAATTTTTCTTAATGAATCATTTAAATTTCTTACTTTTAAATTCTTTGAAGCTTTCTGAGTGTCGAAAGGAACGTTTAGA